GCGGCACTCTTCTTTTTTGCCTGGGGCAGCAAAAAAGTTACAGCTGGCCCTGCCTCCTGCACCCCAACCCCTTGCCCCAGCCCAGAGCCCCCTCCCACAGCCTGAATCCCTCATTCCCAGCCCCACCCTGCACCCCTCACTCCCGCACCCCAACCCTCTGCCCCAGCCCTGAGACCCTTCCACACCCCAAATGCCTCATCCCCAGCTCTGCTGGATTGTGGGCATCAACAATTTTCTTCAACTGGGTCCCCAGAAAAAAACACTGCATTAGTCCAAACAACCAGGCCACATTCATTTAATCAACAAGGAGTCTGGTGGCACCTTAAAGACTAACAGATTTATTTGGGCATAAGCTTTCGTGAGTAAAAACCTCACTTCTTCAGATGCACTTTCATTTAATGAAAGGACTGTTGAAATCATGCTTGGTAAAAACAAGAGACATGGAGCTGGCAATTAATTAACCAAATTCATGGGCAGCCGGAGAAGTTTCACTGCGGCCCTGCCTCTTCTGCTCATGGCCCCGCCCACACACCACCCCAGGCCCTGCCCCTGCTCGGTCCCCTTCCCGCTCAACCGCCCGCAGCCGCAGCTTGCCGCATTCCTCCTCCTCCTCCTCCCCACCCGAGGCCCCCACCGCCCGCCTCTCTCTGCGTTCCTCTTTTCCTTCATGCCCACCTTCCCCTGAGTGAGGCCCCTGCTGTGTGCGCTCTCCATTTTCCTCCTCTCCTCCACTGCCACTATCCCCCGTGAGGGCCCCACTGTCTGCCGCTCACAGTGTCCCTCTTCTCCACCCCCTCTCCTCTGTGAGGGCCTCATGGAAGAGGGGAGATGGAGGAGAGGAGGGACGCAGCAAGTGGTGGGTGGGGGGGCCTTTCAGGGGAGGGGAGATGGAGTGGAGGAGAGAAGAGGAGGGACTCATCAGGCAGCGGCGGGTGGTGGGGGCCTCAGGAGGGGCACGAGCAGGGATGGGAAGAGGCAGAGGAGCGCAGGTGGGGCCATCACGGCTCAGGCATCTGGCGCTGGGGTGCTTAGCCTCCCCTGGCCTATTATACTCATCCCCTATGACCAGAATCAGTGTGTTGGATATTAGCCCTAGCTGGCAGACGAAATAATGAGATGGGCCATTCCACCCATGGTCCTTAAAGAAGGCACAGAGAAGGAAAAACAGATAGAAGCCACCGGAGCAAACTTTTGTTGAAAACTGAAAAATTTATGGTTGAAAATTTTCAGTTTTTGTGTGTTTCAAGTTCTGGATGAAAAGTCAAAAATGTCTATGGAACATTCAAGCAAAACATTTGTTCTTCATTTTAATCTGAGTTTTTTTGGGGGGGGGGGGGAGGGAGGAGAGCAGAGAGGAACATTTTCTAAACAGCTCTACCGTAACCCTTTCAGAAGAAAGATGGTGTT